AGTATTGTAACACTTAAAGATTTTGGTTGAGGATATTATCTTGGAGTTCAACCAAATATCTTTTACTTGTGCCACTCTTGATAATAGGGTTGTCCTTAAACTCAGTGTGAATCTTGGATTTACCTAAATCATAAAGTACCTACTAAGCTCTTCCACTTGCCAATCACTTGAGAACACGGAGGTAGGGGTCACCCTGATGTTCCACTTCCACTCAAGCATGAGGACAAAAAGGTAGTCATTTCTCTCAAATAAAACTTGGTAAACTGTCAGTCCTCTCAATTGATTTTGCCATTAATCATCAAAAACCCAATAGGAATACCCAAGAGATGCACTTTCAATGTTTTTGTGTGCAGCGCATTCATATGCAGTGCAAATACACCCGCTCATCATGCTTATAAGTCAAGTCAACTAGATGGAAAAGTTGATGTGATGTTCGGTGGGTCCAATTGATGCCTAGATCTCTTGATCCCTTTGCCTTGGTCGAAGAACTTTCAGTGACCTATAAGTGATCTGTTCAATCTTTGAAGAGCTTTGGGGATGCACAATAGAACTTTGTAAACGAGATAAAGTGTTTATCTTATTTCACGATTTGGAAACCATTTTTGCCATTTAAACATACAAAACATCGCTTAGGAGTGTTCATTGGCGGAACCAAGATTTCTTATTTGGTTGTCCATAGATTAAAATTTAGTGTTCTCTACTAACTTATTATAAGATTAGTATGAGTTTTAAGCTGTTGTTCCAGAAATACTAATGAAGATGTATATCTGTACACCCATGAACTTAACTAGCTCCGCCCATGGGCATGTTGTAGGATTGAATAGTGTCTGTTTGAGATAATTAGCAAGCTGGGGGAGGGGGGCTTACTAAAACAGATTATCTAGGCCCCATTCCAAGCTCGAGAATAGACGGAGAGTTGAGCTTTTCTCTTCTTGAGAGAGTTTTAGAGTAGGAAGAGAAGAGAGGTTATTGGATCCACAAATCTATTCAGGATTTGGAGTCTCCTTTGTTGGCTTCCACCTTGTACCTGATTCATCTTTATAGTGGAAGATTGTTCGCCGTCGCCCGTGGTTTTTTCCCGCAATGGGCTTCCACTTAAATCCTTGTGTCTCCCCTCGGTTTGGTGTTCCTCTTGTCCTAATTGTTGCCGCTCAAGTTTTTGCCTTATATTTGTACCCATTGCTCAAGTTTGGTATAGTTTAATTTTGTTGTCACTGTAGACATGACATACACCGGTTCTTTGTTATGACGATGATTATGTTGGGGTAGTGTTGATGTCGTAGTAAACTTCTCTTGCAAGTATATTATTGTGCTAAATATTGGACAATTTGATGCCTGTGGATTTCATGGTATGGCTCAGATTTTTACATGCACAAAGGAATCAATTGGGGAACTGATAGACGCACCAAACAAAAGAAAGGAGATGAATGCATGTGTGAGTCTAATTAACAACTCCCTATTACAACTAAAGAACCCAACAGAGAAAGATCAAAGCAACAGGGCAGAGATGAAAACGAGAGCCATCGCCTAACAGTTAAGCTACGTACTACCGCAGGCTGAGCCAATGATCATTTTATCCACGCAGCGTCGATCCCAGCTGCCCCGCTTTGCGTCGGAGGCGCCACCACCTCTCGCCGCGCCAGCCCTCCGGTCAGCACCCTGCGGAGTCGTCCGGTCTTGCTCTGGTAGTGCTGCGGCGGAGGCCGAGTCCCTCCCGGTGAGCCGCTGCACGACGGACTTGAAGTCGGCGGCCGTGCCGGCCTCGACGTACACCGTCTCGACGATCCTCACCGTCGCCGGCGGCTTATCCGCGCCCTGCTGCTCCTCCCCCAAGGCTAGCTGAAGAGAATGGACGTGCAGGTCCAGAGGTAGAAGAAGAAGTGAAAGAAGCGTACAACGGAGAGGGGGATAAGTAGCCGAGGAGCCGTCGCTGGCCGGAATTTGACCGTGCTCGGTCATGAAGCTGAGGGAGACGTGTGACCTTCAAATGGCCCGGCAGGCGGCAATGGCTTTGAACAGGCAACACGATCATGGTGGAACCCTTCCTTCTTTGGGTATCTCACAAAATTCTTACTATAATCTAACGAGTCCAACATTTTGTTATTGTTTGACTGCTCATATAAAAAGCCATCACCAGAAGCCGCGTCACAAAAATGTCATCTAAACGCTCTTATATTTCTTTACAGAGGAAGTATATTAATACTCCGGTACTACATTCACCGTAAAACGTATTACCTTATATTTGTTTTACATTTTGTCTATAGTTAACACGTGTTTTCATCAGAAGGTCAAAATGTGACTTGACAGAACGTGTCGAATTTCATCAGAAGGACACGAGTTGCAACCCAGAGGGAGTAAATACCAACTTAAACGTCTGAATCAGTCATACAGAGCAGCTCAGAAGCTCAAGCCACGAACTTCAGAGGGCACGGGGAAGATGAACACATTAGACTTTCGCAGCACAACACCTTCAACAATGGAACTTCTTTCGGCTTCCTCCACAGTTTGTCTCTAGGGGACACACGTTTTCACCGGAAAACTGATGGTCAAAATGTAACTTGACAGAACGTGTCGAACTTCATCAGAACGACACAAGTTACGACGCATAGGGAGTGACTACCAACTTGAAAGTCTGAATCGGTCATAGAGAGCAGCTCAGAAGCTAAGCAACCAACTTCAGAGACATGAAGCAGATAACACATACGACTTTTGTGCCACAACACCTTCAGGAATAGTAGCAACTTTTTAGTTTCCACTGCAAGACAACACATAATAAGACAGCCGCGCCGCCCACATGTGTGGTACTCCCTCTGTAAATTAATATAAGAGTGTTTAGATCACTAAAATAGTAATCTAAACACTCTTATATTAGTTTACGGAGGGAGTACTTTGGTGGACAAACAACAGGTTCTTGCAGTCAAAGCAATATATGACAAGTTACCACAGTCAAAACAACACGATGACAAGTTATTGCGGTCAAAACCATACATCAGCAGCTGCATTGTCTTCTACAGTCAATACCTTGCACGAGCGAAAGACTGCGGTTTTTTCGAACCTGTTCAACACCGTAAGCGGTGGATATCACCATCTTATTACAGTCACTACCCCCTAAAGTTGACGTGGAAAACTCTGAATTTACCATAAGGTTAGACGGATCAGTCCAGTTATATTGAGCAGTCTGAAGCAGTCCAGTTGTATTGAGCAGTCTGAATCAGTCCAGTAATGGCAATGACCTGCTGTAATGGCAATGACCTGCTGTGCTGGGATGAATACCAGGTCTGAATCAGTCCAGTCATATTGAGCAGCTGGGAAACTCAAGCTACTAGCTTCAGAGGACATGGAGGCAATGAACACATACGACTTCCGCACCGCAACCCCTTCAGTGATAGCATTTCCTTCAGTTTCCTCCTGTGCAAGACAACACATAACAAGACAGCCGCGACACCTGCACGTGTGGCGCTTTGGTGGAAAAACAACATTTTGTCTCAGTCAAGGCAATATATGACAAGTTACCACGGTCCAAACAATACAATGACAAGTTATCGCGGTCAAAACCATACATCAGCAGCTGCATTATCTTCTTCAGTCTATACCTTACACGAGCGAAAGACTGCGGTTTTTCGAACCTGCTCATCATCTTATTACAGTCACTAACCCCTAAAGTTGACGTGGAAAAGGCGTATCTCTGAATTTCCCATAAGGTTAGACAGACCCATACAACACACGGACTGAACTAGAGAGAGGGAAAGAACAGCTAACATCTACAGAAGAGATAGCACGATATTTCGAGTACACAGAACTAGCAGAGTGCCAGGGACTTGCCCCGGCCACAAATGCACAGTACTGCTAGGATCACACTGCCAACGAATTATATGTGTATGTTTGTCACACGCCAATCAGTATCATTCTCCACCCTACATGCCGTTGAACTGTCGAAAACATAAATATTACAGTGAGATTTCCATCGTTATGCCCACGAGCATAAGTATATGCCAGATTATGCAAAGCAAAAAAGCCTAATAGCCGGAGTCAGGCATGACGTGATGGAATACATTTTGATATCAACTTGAGAGAAGGAAGTGCATATTACCGATGATCCAGGCTGCCCATTCAGTGCACCCACTTTCTTTCCAGCCTGCTCAGATTTCGAACCCTTTGACGTGTCACCCTAGAAGACAATGAATGAAGAGTAAATTCAGGAAACTTGAACCTAAGATAATGAATCGCCGAAACATGGAAGATCAGTAATGCAATGAATATACCTCCATCTTCAGAGCCATCAAGGGTCATCATCATTCATGGAAGAAGAGTAAAAAAAACTCATCAGCACAAAAGTTATTTCGTGTAAAATATAGTAATACTGTAATTCTATTGGTAAGGAGGAGTTTGCAGAACCATGTATACTAGAGAAAAAACAAGAAAATCCTGAGTTTGGTCTAAATATTTCACCAAGAAGGTAACATAGTGCGTACGCAGTTCTGGCTGCACATTCACTTTCAGTTGAATAAGAATATAGCACATTTTGTTCAACCATGGTAAATCTACCAATAACGATTTGACATTAGCCGTCACAGACTCATAGCTTAATGAAGGCAAAACTGAGGGACTATCATCTTTTACATTACAGTCTTTGTTAACCTGCATCACCCTGATTCTTTCAGTCGCAAAACTAGGACAAATTTCTAAGAAGTTGGTTCGTCTTATTCATCATTAATAATAAGTAAAGGGGAAATTCCACTCTAATGATGCATACTTCGGACTCTTAGGACGTTTAGTTTGCAGAAAATCTTCAACTACCCTGCTGTTGACAACTCCATCAGGCATTCATCGACACGGTGAGTACGGGACCCATGTGAGTGACATCCTAACTAAAGTCAATGCCTTGATGAGCACAGTGACAGCAGACGCGATTCAGGGGCATCCTCTTGCCTGCCTATCAGGGGCCTAGGAACCATATCACTGCAGCTAAATATCGCAAATACAGTGCCCCTAGGCGAAATTCAGAGTTCCCCAACACCAATACTGTACCCACCAAACCTTCTTCTCACACCAAATTCAGAATTCCTCTCACAAGCAGCACATGCGTAGCACAAGCAGCACAAGAAGAGGGGAACGAATGAATGAATGAATATCACCTCCCGGTAGAGCTTGAGGTAGAGCTTGAGGGGCTCGACGTAGTCCTCGAAGCCGAGCGTGCCCATGGACCAGATCAGGTCGTCGCCGTTGATGGTCTTGCGCTTCTCCTTCATGCACTTGTCGCTGGCCCTGCGGCGCCCGGGATCAGAGACTAGTGAGCTCGTGCTAAGCAAGCTGGAGCGGATCAGAGGGGGGGAGAGGGAGGCGAGGGGCGGAGACTGACTCGCTGGTGATGAAGCTGATGAACTCGGAGACGCACTCCTGGATGGACTCCTTGGCGTCCTTGGCGATCTTGCCGTTCTCCGGCACGCCGCGCCGCATGATGCGCCCGATGTTGGCGATCGGCAGGAACCGCTCCTGCTCCTTCGACCCGCCGCTCTCCGGCGTGCCCACCGCCTCCGACATCGCCGGGCCTGCGCCTGCACGGCGGCGGCATGGAAACGAGTGAGAGGCCGGCGGCGAGGTGGCGAAAAGGGAAAGCTTTTGTGTTTCGGGGGGAGAAGAGAGGCAGCGGCGCTTACCTAATTTGGTGGGAGATGGACGGAGATGGCGGATGGGATCAGCGCCGTTGGTTGGTGCGGGAGGAGGGCGCGGCCGGCCGCCGGATCTGGAGCGGAAGTTGGTGGAGGGCGGGCGTTGTGCTCCGCGCGAGACGGGAACAGAGGAGGGGAAGGCTCCGGAGCCTTGTCGTCCGATCTACCAACAAGGGCCTGCCGCTAACCGTCCGATTTCTTAGCTTTATTAAAAAATGCATTTGTTTGTTGTGGGTTTCTAGAATCTTTGATTAAACAAGGTTGGTTATCACAATATCTTTGTTTTTTCTCTTAAAAAATATCTTTGTTTAAAAAAAAGAGGAAATTTCATCCTGTACTCGGAAGTCACAACAAACTTGTTGACCACAATATCTTTGTTTTTTCTTATAAGAAAACAATATCTTTGTTTTTTCTTAAACGAACAATATCCTTGTTTTTTAAAAAGGAAATCTCATCCTATAGTCACAACAAACATGTTGGTAAATAAGATCCCTCAAGAAAGACACTTGTTGGTAAATATTTAACGAGACCATTAAATAAACAAGTGGAATGAAATGGAGGCTTGAGTGAGGCCTTCTTCTTCGACGGTTTTGAAGCCGCTCAATGTCGTAGTCATCACACCGCCGACGAACCAAGCAGTCCGCAATTCAGATGATTGCACTAAGATGGCTAGTCTGATAGGGGTTCGGCGGAAGAGCCACATCTGCAAGTACTGTCATGAGATCAATAGTTTCTGATCCACGACACCACACCCTTGATGCGTGCTACTGACATTACCTACAACCGTCGTCAACATCATCAAAACCGAAGCAACGAGCAACAAAAAAACCAATGAATGAAGACCAAACTATCCAACGAGCAGGCGAGGATATGTTGTCCTCCCCCCTCTCGACACCGAGAAGACCATCAAAGTAGATGAGGCTCTCCATGGAATGACCTCGGTTGCATCCTTGTGCTTCTCATTTGTTTCCCTTGAAATTAACGCTCTCCACAAGATTGGTGATGAAGTGGTGACTTTATATCTCGAACACGGGTATATTAGTGTAGTTGACCGAAACAGTGAAGCTTCGAGTGGTCATGACACTTAAAAGATTTTGGTCTCGATGCATGCTTGGTTTACATCATTTTAAAAGCACAAAAAACAGAAGAAAACACACACACACACACACACACGCACGCACACACACACACACACACAAATAATCTTAGAGGTGGGCTATTTATAACACATGGCATAGACCATAGAGACAAAGGAAAAGCAATGAGTGTGGAATCAATAGAATTTTTTCCTTTGAGAAACATGCAAAGTAGTTCACCCTAAAAATTTCCTATGGTTTTCAACCTACAGACCAAGAAAACTCAACAAAAGGGGTGTAAGAGTTAAAAGCCATGTGAAAATCCTTTGAATTAAAATAAACAGTAAGAGCTTCTTTGGAACAACATACGAAATGTAAAGAACAATGGAGGACTGCAAGTAAGAGGAAAAAATGCATAGCCTATCATTTAGATCATAGAGTTGCATTGTTTAGGAAGTCCTGAATGCTCTCTAACCTCATGGACCAATATTTTTTAAATAAAATTAACTTCCACTCCGTGCCTAAATCCCTTTTCCCCTTAAACCATTTGACTACTAACCTTAAAATCACCAAATTGTTCACTAACGGCTCCTTCTCATCAACTCCTCCTCTGTGGGGGATATCGACAAGTCCTATGGGGACGCCAGATCAAACCCATCCCATACATTCCCCATTGCCCCATGCCCAACCCCATTTACATGTCTGGGATTAAATTTCCTCATACCTGCCCCCATTGGGAAGCGGGCCATTAGGGTTCCCCGTTGCCCATAAACAGTAATGGTAGGGGAACGTGCTAGGCAATAAAAAAAATTATGTTACACGATTACACCCAGGATCACGATGAAGATGGCGGTAATGATCAAACTCGCTGACGGTGCAGAGTAGCGGAAGCAGTGATGAGTCGATGCAGCTTAACCATCCCATCAATTCCCGCAGCTAGGTTACACCTTCTAGCCACGAGAAGAGTTCACTGAGTCGAGAGTCAAAGTAGACGACCCCTCCAAGGTATCCATGAGTTCCGCGGTAGTACTCCGGCAGAGCTTCCACGTCCAGGAAGAAGAACTGTGACATCTTTCTCCGGCAGATCTTTGATTAAACAAGGTTGGTTACATCAATATCTTTCTTTTTTTCTTCAAAAACAATATCTTTGTTAAAAAAGGAAATTTCATCCTATACTCACAACATACATGTTGGTAAATATGATCCCTCAAGAAAGACACTTGTTGGTAAATATTTAACGAGACCATTAAATAAACAAGTGGAATGAAATGGAGGCTTGAGTGAGGCCTTCTTCTTCGACGGTTTTGAAGCCGCTCAATGTCATAGTCATCACACTGCCGGCAAACCAAGCAGGCCGCGATTTAGATGATTGCACTAAGATGCCTAATCTGATAGCGAAAGAGCTACAGAGCAAGTAGTCTCATGAGACGAATAGCTTCAGATCCACGAAACCACACCCTTGATGCATGCTACTGACATTACATATCACCATCATCCAACATCGTCAAAACCAAATCAACGAGCAACAACAAAACCAACGAACAAAGACTAAACTATCCAACTAGCAAGTGAGGATCTCCGAGAAGACCATCAAAGTCGAGGGGACTATCATGGAATGTTCTTGGTTGCATCATTGTGCTTCTCATTTGTTTCCTTTGTAATTAACGCTCTCCGCAAGATTGGAGAGGAAGTGGTTGCTTTACATCTCCCCCATGGATATATTAGTGCGCTTGGTAGAAAAAGTGAAGCTCTGAGTGGTCATGACGGCTTAAAGATTTCCTTGGGCTTGAAGCATGCTTAGTTCACATCATTTTAAAAGCACAAAAACAGAAGAAGAAATACATAAAAAATAAAAAAATGATAGTTGTGGACTATTTATCACAGTGTCATAGAGGAAAGGAAAAACAATGAGTATGGGCTTAACACATTTTTTTGAGAATCACATGCAAAGTAGTTCAATAGAAAAATTTCCTATGGTTTTGGACCTACGAACAAAGGAAGTTCTACCAAAAGGGGGGTGTAAGGGTTAAAAGCCATATGAACATCCTTTGAATTAAAACAAACAATAAGAGCTTCTTTGGAACAATATACGAAATTTAAAGAACAATGGATGACTGCTAGTAAGACGGGAAAATGTGTATCCAATCATTTAGATCATAGAGTTGCATTTTCCAGAAAATCGAGAATGGTCTCTAACCTCGTGGACCATTTTCTCAAAGAACCATTTGACTAATAATATTAAAATTGCTGCATTCTTCAGTAAAGGCTCAATGAGGACAATCCCCTATGGGGACCACATAGCAAATTTATCCCGTACATTCTCCACTGCCCCATGCCCATGCCCATTTACATGACAGGGGATGAAATTTCCCCATACATGTCCCCCGTGGGAAGCGGCGCGAAGGGGGGGGGCAATAGGGTTCCCATTACCCGTAAGAAAGTAATCACATACATAATATGACATATTCTAATGAACATTATACATTGATTTAAATAAAGAAAGAATGCATCAATAATAAGAGGCGACCATAAGAGGCAATATGCATCATCATTGAACACAACACAAAGAATTACATAAATGGAACCGGTGTGGTGGTAGTACAGTCGATGTTGGGATCACGACTCGGGAAGGTAGCATGCTCAAAGGGGGACTTGTTATGACGTTTTACTTATCCAGTAGTTGTCGGTCTAGATCATCTTGATTTATTACTCTTGGTGTCCGCTTAGGTGGACAGGGCTATTGTTTTTTCCACGACTATGTTATTTTGCATAATTTTTTGGGATGTTTTTAGGGGGTTTTACGGCCTATATGGACATACAGCTAGTCCTACCTTTTATTCCTAAAAAGAGAGTCCCAACGGGTATCAGATTTGGGGAATAGGGTGACATCTGTTGGGAAACGTTGTCTGGGAAACAAAAAAATTCCTACGCTCACCAAGATCAATCTAGGAGATGAAAATATACGAGAGGAGAGATTGGTGTTGGGGAATGCGGTAATTTCAAAAAAATTCCTACGATCACGCAAGACCTATCTCTAGGTGATGCATAGCAACGAGAGGGGAGACTGTTGTCTACGTACCCTCGTAGACCGAAAGCGGAAGCGTTATGACAACGCGGTTGAGGTAGTCGTATGTCTTCACGATCTGACCAGTCCTAGCACCGAAGGTACGGCACCTCCGCGATCTGCACACATTCAGCTCGGTGACGTCCCACGAACTCTAGATCAAGCTGAGGTTGAGGGAGAGTTTCGTCAGCACGATGGCGTGGTGACGGTGATGAAGTTACCGGTGAAGGGCTTCGCCTAAGCACTACGACGATATGGCTGAGGTGTGTAACTGTGAAGGGGGGCACCACACACGGCTAAAACAATTGTTAACTTGTGTGTTCTAGGGTGCCCCCTTGCCCCCGTATATAAAGGAGCAAGGGGGAGGCCGGCCGACCCTCCAAGGGCGCCCCCCCCCCAATAGGGGAATCCTACTAGGACTCCAAGTCCTAGTAGGTTTCCACCTAAAGGGAGAGAGGGGGAAGGAAGGAGAGGGAGAGGGGGAAGGAAGGAGAGGGAGAGGGGGAAGGCAAGGCCCCCCCTTCCTTGTCATATTCGGCCTCAAGGGGAGGGGGCGCGCAACCTGCCCTAGCCGGCCCCTCTCTCTCTCCACTAGGGCCCAACGAGACCCATTAGTTCCCCAGGGGGTTCCGGTAACCCTCCGGCACTCCGGTTTTATCCGAAACTTCCTTGGAACACTTCTGGTGTCCGAATATAGTCGTCCAATATATCAATCTTTATGTCTCGACTATT